TTTTTTAAAAGATTTATTTTATTTATTTGAAAGACAAAGAAAGAGACAGAGAGAGGTCTTACATCCACTGGTTCATTCTCCAGTTGGCCACAATAACCAGAGCGGGGCCAGGCCAAAGCCAGGAACAACTTCTGGGTCTCCCACGTGGGTGGCAGGGGCCCAAGGACTTGGACCATCTTCTACTGCTTTCCCAGGCACATTTGCAGGAAGCTGGATCAGAAGTCGAGCAGGAATTTGAACAGGCTCCCATATGGAATGAGGGCATCAGTGGCCATCCTTTGATGGTAAATCTGCCATACCATGGCTTTGGAAGAGCTTGGTCACTGTAAATCAGAGGGTTTCTTTTACTTTGTTTTCTAGCCAGCTGTTTTGCATTAAATAGATTATTTTGTAGCACAATGTGTGATATAGGTTGAACAGATATTTGGTTTATGTTACCTTGCTGTGAGTGACTGGATTATGTTAGATTAACATTGATACCTCTACATGCCTATGAAGCATCAGAAAGAAGACAGTTCCACAGACAACAACAAAGTAATACCTAACCTTGTTTCTTCAGTTCCAACTTGACTTCTTGAGGCAGTATGCAAAGTTATAATCTTGTTGTACCTTTGGTATACACTTACTTTGTTAGAAGATTAATTGCACACTCTTAGGTTACATATGGCAAGTTTAAGTCATCCAGTCGACCCTGTGTCACACTGTGTTTAAGCATCATGTGTTCTGTGCTATTCCTTAGTTATTTCGCTTGACAAAGTTTTCAGGAAGATGGAAATTAATGGTGTAGATTTGGCTATGGATCTGAAGTTTTGTGATATTCAGGTATTTAGTGGATTATGTGCTCTGTACAAAGTTGCTGAGTAAATGGTTGCCTGTATGTATCCTAGAGCAATATATTAATGGGTTTGATTCATTCACTGAAAAACTCAGGAAGGTTTTGAGATAAATGCCAAATCAACTTATGCTTAGAAAAGTTGTAAAGCCTTTTACTCTTAAGACAGCAGGAAAAGCCTTGACATCAATTTGAGTTGGTTAACGTGCCATTCAGAAGGTGCATAGCCATGTTAAAGCTGAGCCATGTGTTTATATTCCCTTTTGGAGAAAAGTTTGAATATTTAATTTTGGCCACCCTTCCTCCATAAGATATACATTTTCATATGACTCTGTCCCCCTCTTCATCTGCATGCCTTGACCAGGTTACTCTCCATAGTATCAGAAGCTCTTCACTCTCATTTTGGGGCATATTTAAAAGACAAACTTTTGATGACCAAACAGAATCTGTTAGGATGTGCATATCCTCCTATGGTGGATTTGAAGGGTGTATTTTTGGATTGATATCTCAGGCTTATTGCTGCATTATTCCTTGTGTTTACAAGCTTAATTGAATCCCTTAATGAATTTTTAGACCATGAGGATATTTTAGAATATCTGGGCTTGGTTATTCACCGTAACATGATACTCCATGAATTAAGGAAACAGAAGCAGAGGAAGAACATGACAAATCATGTACCTCCACCTCCAATGAAATGTGTTTTCCTATATCTCATTGCACAAAATTCCAACAAGTATATACACATAAACACCTTCCCCCTGCATCTTCGTCTCTTTGATTTCCATCTTCATCTCTTTGATAGTAGGCAGCTTGGAGGAATGCCACTACTTGTTATCAAAGCCTTCCTCCATATCATCTGAGATAAATATATGTGTTTTAAACTATTGACTTTTTGGAGGAGAGGCCTCTATTTTTGCCATTTGAGCTACACTAGCATTAGTAGTATTGATAAAATAAAGCTAGCTCAAAAAGTGAATTTGGTTTAGGCTCAAACCCTATCACCTGGGCACCTACTTCTTCTACCTGTGTTTCCAAATAGGAAATGCAATCACTTTCACAATGGGCCTAAATTACTCTACCACCCGTGACAGCAATAATATCTAACATTGGTTCCTTCCTCATAAATGTGATGCGAACTATGAGTTCTGACCTTATGTGAGCCAGGTCACTGATTTTTACCCATTATTCTTTAATACTATAAATATAAAAGTTGTATTTCAAACATTTCAGTGATTTTCAATCTCTGCTTCTGAGAAAAGATGACTCCAAGCATAAAAAGTTGTCATCATTAGATTGCTAGCCATTAGATGTGCAGACAGATGAAAAAATGAATACATGCATAGAGACATACACAAAATGAGTCTTCCAAAAGTTCATAGAAAAATAGGATTAAAGAACAATGGACATTTTCCTTGAACTTTCTGAAGTCCCCTAGTGTGTGTGTGTGTGTGTGTGTGTGTGTCTATTTCATAGTATCCTATAAATTCCACTCCTGACTGGATCCATACAAGTCCATAGTCTAAGTATATGTTTTGTAACTAAATTAGTTTTTAACATCAGTACAAAGCCGGCACCGCGGCTCACTAGGCTAATCCTCCGCCTTGCGGCGCCGGCACACCAGGTTCTAGTCCCGGTCGGGGTGCTGGATTCTGTCCCGGTTGCCCCTCTTCCAGGCCAGCTCTCTGCTGTGGCCAGGGAGTGCAGTGGAGGATGGCCCAGGTGCTTGGGCCCTGCACCCCATGGGAGACCAGGAAAAGCACCTGGCTCCTGGCTCCTGCCATCGGATCAGCGCTGTGCACCGGCCGCAGCGCGCCGGCCACGGCAGCCATTGGAGGGTGAACCAACGGCAAAGGAAGACCTTTCTCTCTGTCTCTCTCTCTCACTGTCCACTCTGCCTATCAAAAAAAAAAAAAAAAAGAAAAAAAACATCAGTACAGAGAACTGCAAATAAATCAGCAGATCCAGGTCAGCCATTGCTGTTATTGTATCTACTGACATTTTTTCATAAACAAGATTATAGGCTGACATTTTTTAAAATGTAAGTAGTGACCTTACAGAATCACTTCTTCACATAATTATCTCATTAACTTGGGAACCTATTAGGCAACCGAAAAATGGGGGGAATAGGAGCAGAAGATGGAGAAAACCTGGAATAATGCTCTTCTGTATATGCTAAATGCTGGATTTGGGCCCTGAACTTCCTGGCTTCCCAAAACTTTCCCATGCTTTCCTCAGTTTGCTTTGACCTGAAACTTTCTCCCACCAAGTGGCACCAGTGAGTTTCAGGTTGATGTGAATCCTCCCCATTGTTTATTACTTCTGAGGCTGTGATTTTATAGGTGGTTCTTGTCTTGGACTCAGGGGGTGGTGAGTGATTTTGTGGGGTGCCAGTATACAGTATTGCCAGAGTGAAGTATGGATGCCTGTGAACTTTCATGTGTAGGACCACCAAGTCACAAGAATTTCATTTTTTTTTTGTCATACTAGAATACTCCTCTGAGAATGTTCCCAACATTCTCACATCTCACGACTTTACCACTTCAAGCTTAAATGCTAGCAATGCAGTGGGAACCATTATATTGCAATCTCATTTTTAAATGTTTTCTAAGAAATCCCAAACCAATCTGTATGCAAACCAGTGACATCTTAGTAAGAAAGCTTTTGCCCAGGAATGTTATCTTCACATTTTGAGCTGAATTGTGATCCATATCACAAACTAAATAATGGATTTTTTAATGGTATCTTCAAAAGGATACCCAAATAATTCATCACTCAGATATATCTCTGAGTAGAGAAAATGCCTCTCTCTTTCACACCTCTCAGTGATATTATTGCATTATGAAGCACTTGATAGGCTTTAATCTCATGGCTGGTTGGCTCACTGCACTCATACCTTGGTGTTAATGAGGCAAAGGTCATGGGAGCCAGTTAGCCTTGTGTGGTGAATTGACCACAAACTACCAGGTATCTATCAAGAGATGTTAGCACAGAGAAGAAAGGCACCGTGGCCCTCTCAGACTCTTCTCATAACAGGCAGGATGTGTTATTTGGACATCATCATCTTAGGGAGGAAATGAGTCGCAGCTTGGAAGGCCCCAACATCTACCTCTGAACAAAGCAAGCCTGACATTTCGGCATTAACTTTGCATTATAATCCCCCATCATACCATTGATTTGCTGTGTAACCTTCATCACTAAAGCAGAGATAATAGGATAGAATGAAATGGGCTTACCTCCCGGGGATGTTGTGTGAATTAGCAAATTAACGAGTGTAAAATGTTAGCATTTATGTAAGTGCTGTTGGTTGTCATTATTTCTAGGGACCTAGTCTCATTCTAAATAGAGAATCTAAGTATATTATGCTTTTGTCAGAAAGGGATGTTCCCCCACGTCAATTGCATTTAAGCTGAGCATAAAACAGAGGTGATAATAACATAGTAGTGCTCATCGCAATGCAGAGCTGTAAACCTTTTTCCTATTAAAGCTAAAACTATTTTCAGCAACTTCCATTGCTTTTAAACTTTGCTTTCTAAGCTTTGTACCAACAGTTGTCTCTTCAGTGATTATTCTTCCCGTGATTGGTGGGGGAATGGGACCTATTCTAGGTCCCATTCATTATTCATTCCCATAATGACTATATAATGTATTGAATTTGTTTACATCATACAATCAGGCAAACTTGGTAGCTGCTTTGATTGCCACATACTGCAATCATCGTAAAAAATAAAAAAAGCTCTTTTTCTGCTCTGCCCATGCTGGTGTCCTCTGGAGGTAGCCAACATACAGACTGAAAACTCATGGGGAATTGAAGTGCTTTCCAACAAAAGGCACGCTGCATAGATCCTTTCAATTTAACATCTTTACCAAGGAATTTTGTTGTCGCCTGCTATTTCCAAAGGGACTGTGCTTGAGAGAATTCTTCCATTTCTTTTATCACTCTGACTTTGCTTACCCAGAAAAGTCATTTATTGCTGATTGTGGAACTCTTGAACTCCGCCTGGCAGCTGCAGTATGAACTCCTCAGATCTGGGCTCCTCGTTACTTATTTACATATTCATTTGAAGTGATTTTTCAGGACTATTTGAAAACGTCTCTCAACCTGACATCTTGTAATAGCCAAGATGTAAAGCTCACCGTGTTCTTGGTTCTTTTTCTCTTTGTCTTCCAGATACCAGACGAGTACCTTTGGAAAGGTCACGCTCTCGCCACAACGGAGCTATCTCATCTAAGTGATTCCTGATGCCAAAGAATGTGAAAATGTTTAAGAACACAAAGTCCTATGATTTGAAAACAACAAAACATGCACTCGAGGGATGGAGAAGAAATAAGTGCATTTCTGCAAAGATGGAGCTAAGCTGGATGAAGGAGTGTCCATTTATAAAATTCTCATAAGACTCCTCCCACAACTGTACTACTCTGAACACAGTGGCCAGGATTATAAAATGTGTATTCCATTTTAGTGTAAAGATGTGTATTATTTGACATTATGTGCGATCTGACTGTGATGATGAAATTGTAAGAAACTGAAGAGTTCTAAGGCTCTTGAAAACATTCAGTCTATCAACAATTTACAATTTGTTAGTTACTTCAACCTAAAAAAAAAAAAAGAGAAGAAATGGGAAGGAATTATTCAATGTCTGTTTCCAGCCTATAATGTATAAAAGGGAAAAGCAAAGGAAAATATGATGCATATTAATGATTTGAAGAGGTGCTAATGTTGCACACACTGTAAGAGAAGCCATTTTGAAAATTTCAAAAGGAAGTGCTCCACCCCAGATGAGTTATCTATGATCTTATCTCCAGTGAAAGCTGATAGATTCATCTGCTTTGGCTGAAATTAAAGTTATCATTAGTCTACAGTTTCAGCATGATATTATAGGCACTTACCATCAAAAACTACACCAAAGTTTTATGGAATCAGTTGAGGAAAATGTTTTAAACTTTATTGAAAGAAAAAATTTTCTAATTATTCTCAGATACCTACTTTATACAAATAGTTTGTATGACTATTTTTGAGGGAGGAAAAAACCCCTCTTATTTTAATGTTTATGCTAGGGACGAATCTGAAAATTCTGTTACCTTCATTTAGATTTTAAAGACAAATATTGATTCCTATTCTTTGTTGTTTATTTCTTCCTTCCATTGCTTCTTTCTCCCCTGACCCCCTTGAAGGCAGGGAATAGAGTTCTAGAAGACCTGAGAAGAAAGAGATTTCTTTCTGCAGGAGGCAGCAGAAAACTGTCTGAAAGGTCAATTGTTTTATCCCTTTTCCACTCCCCTTTCCAATTCCGCTTTGGTGGTCTGAAGAAGAAAAAGAAATTCTATGTATCTATGTGTATATATTTGTATATTTATATCTTCTACTACAATAATTCAACATCCTAGTAACTAAGTAAACTCTTCAATCATCATCATACTTACCTACCTTATATCAACAAATTAAGATGATGCTGCCAAAACAACTATAGGAGGAAAAACATACTCTACATTTCTCTTAAATAGATGAGAGAGTAAATGCTACACTTGACTTGTCTATTATTTTAAAATATGCATTGGAATAATGTGGTATAACTTCTCTAGAGTGCAATTTTAAGACTAATTCATGCAGATGATTGTGGTTATTGTAAAAGGTTTATTATATATGTCTTTCTTCTATAGAAAATCCTATTTCTCCTCCCCCAAAGCACATTATACACATTCAAAGAGAAGAACAAATGATTGGTTTGGCAAGTCACCATTGAAGAGAATGTAAACAAGTGGACAATAGCTCACATCTTCCTTTAGAGATATGTATAATGACTCAAACTACTGCCTTTTTCTCCACTACACTGTTACTTGGGTAGTATTCTTCAAAAAGCTCTGAAGCTGCTACAATACAGAAATCATAAAGAATAACAGTATCTGAGATTTTACAATTTTATCTTTTCTATAAACACATACACATATTTAAGAGACACATCAACTTCACACTGTTTTTTAACAACAACAAAAGTTTAGGTTCCACTAATTTATGTAAATACTTAATGTGTGTATTTTTGACTTCCCAAGTCTTTTCTGAAACCTTCATGGTATGGCTTCTTTGAATCTTTTGATAGTTTTTTAGGCTGTAGCAAAATGATTTAGAAATGGTAACCCTGACTAAAACTGGGAGGCATTTGCCATGCCATATTAGCAAGCTGGACAAGGTAGAAATACTGATATATCACCTTTTCCAGATTGTGAACTTGCCTTATTTTCCAGTTTGTGAACAAGAACGAATGAAGTGCTATTACTCATAAACATAAATTATATATTTGTATTTAGAGCATTCTCACATGCTTTTCACAAACATTAAAAAAAAAAAACCAACCACACTTTCAGGGAAGTTCCAACAATTAGGTTAAAGGGTTTGCTTCCCAGATTTGCAATGATCCTGCTCCAGACATTTGCATTTGTTTTAGATTGAAAAGTATCACCCCCAAAAAGTCCATTTTTAGTATTGAAACAAATTATACTAAAGTCCTTTGAGTTTCTTACTGCCACACTTCAGATATGCATTTATACAGATTTTCTTCAGAATGTTAAAAAATGTGCAATACCTTTAAAATGTTAACTAGTTGTATTTGTTTCCTTTGACTGCTTTAACAAATTATCGCAGATTTGGTGGGTTAACACAACAGAAATTTACTCACTCACAGTTTTGGAGGTAAGAAGTTCAAACTCAAGCTGTTGGCAGGGTCATGCTCCCTCCAGAAGCTCTTGAGGAGAATCCTTCCTGGCCTCTTCTAGTTTCTGGTGGTTTCTAGTTTCTCTCTAATCTGTCTTTACATCACCTTCTCCTCTGTGAACCTAATCTCCCTCTACACCTCTTTTAAGTGGATGCTTATGATAACATTTGGGAACCACCCAAATTAGTCCAGGATGATCTTCTATTCTCAAGATCCTTAACTCAATTGCATCTTCAAGACCCTTTTTCCAAATGAGGTAATATGCACAGGTTATGGGAATTAGGTTGCGGACATACCTTTTTGGAAGCAACCTTCAGCCCACTGCTGTCTGCTCTCTGGCCCTCCAGAATTTGTGTGTCCCATGTGTAAAATACATTTGTACTATCTCAGCATTTCCAAGTCTCAACCCATCACAGTACCAACCGTAAATCCAAAATCTCATCTAAATATCATTAGTTCAAAAGCCCAAATTTCATACAAATATCATCAGTTCTGAAGTCCCAAATCCTGTCACCTAGATCATCTAAATTAGGTGTGAGTGAAACTCTGGGTAGGATGCATCCTGGGGCAAAATTCCTCTCCTCTTGTGAACCAGTCAAATAGCAAAGAAGTTATCTGCGTTGAAACTACAATGGTGGGACAACATAAGGTAACAATTACAGATATTCCTAATCCAGTTGGCAGGGAACAGAAAGTAGAAAGGAGTTATCTGTCCCAATCATTTTTGAAATGTTGCCAGACAAATTCCCCTTAGATTTCAAGGCCTGGCAATAACCTCTTTGACTCAGGGCTGCATCCTTTGGGGCTGCACCTCTTCCCTTCTGGTCTATGGATTAGATCTCTGCCTCTGTGCCCATGGTTTGCACTTGTGCCTTGTTCCAATGCTTGGCCCTTTGCCTCTGTACTCACAGCTCTGCTCTTTATATCTTGAAGAGTAGCATATGTTTGCAAGCTGGGTAGTTTTATTAGCCTGTTTCTTCCCTGTAGAATTCTGGTAGTCTGACAATGTTCTCTCCTTTTGTCCTGTCCTGTCTCTGTCTCTTTCAGGTCAAGCATTCTTGAAAACCATGTGGTTCTCTTGTGTATGTCACTAGGTTCACACCATTAGAAAAGAGGGTCCTCACAAATATTTCCTGGATAACCCCATCTCTATTCCAGGATTCTGCTTAGATACTCGACTGAACCCATGGGCCAGTGTCTAATCTCTTAAGCACTTGCCAAAGGTCCAGCCAATACCCTTGGCCTTATCTTCAGAGCACACTTCACTATTAGTGAAAGCTCCCAATTTTTGCATCTTTTATAATCTGAATAGGTGCCAAATTTCCCAACTCATCAAGGTGTGGTTTCTTTGTCACTTACCAGCTCTTTTCAGTTCAATCTCTTTCCTCTGTTAGTTTACTGTAAGTATCAGGAGGAAACTAGGCCATACCTGTAAAGTTTTGGGTGGCAGTCTCCTTAGCTAAATAGCTAAGGTCATCACTTGCAAGTTCTGCCTTCCACACTATAGGATACAATTCAGGTAAGCTTTTTGCCATTATATACAACAAAGATGGCCTTTCTTCCCTCTTCCAAGAAAATGTTCCTCATGTCCTGAGCTTTCACCAGAAAATCTTTTAACATTCATATTCGGACTTCCAGTCTGGCTATGTTTTCCTATCACATGAATCAAAATTTTTCCAGGCTGTAGCCATTATCCAATTCCAGAGCCACATTCACTTTGTTAGGTCTTTCTTACAATAGTATTCCCATTTCCCAGTACTAAAATCTGCATTGGATTCCTGTGGCTGTTGTAATAAATTACCTCAAAGATGGTAGCTAAAAACAATAGAAATGTATTCTCTTACTGTTTTGGAGGCCAGATGTCCAAAATCAAGGTGCTGGCAGGACTACAGGGGGAACATCTATCTCTGTGTCTCCCAGATTCTTGTGACTCTCATTGTTACTTGGCATCTTTCTCTGCTGTCTTCATATCACCTTCTCCTCTGAGTATCTAATCTACCTCTGCCTCTGTCTTATAAGGACGCTTGTGGTGACATTTAGGACTCACCCAGATTATCCATGATAAATTCATCATCTCAAGATCCTAACTTAAGGACATCTACAAAGACTCTGCAGGTTCCACAGGTTCCAAGGATTAGGACATGGACATATCTTTGTGGAGGGAGAGGGCATCATTCAGCCCACTACACTAGTTATTGCACATATATATTTTTTTCACCTTTCAAAATACATCCTTGGTGCTCAAGCCAAATTGAAAGTTGTCTCTAAAAGCTATTGGCTACACAGACTACTGCATGCTTTGTTGTTAAGTGGATGAACCAGCTATTCTAAATTTTAGTTGATACTTTTGCTTCTATAGCCAATTAGCTTGAAGAAATAATTGATCCCACCTTTGTGCTCTGGTGTATCGCTTCTGCATCTTGATGGAGTCTTTGACCGAATGTCTTCTGTGATATTCATCATGCAGGCACAAAACTACCTCTGATACAGAAGGATTCTTTACAAGCTTATTTTAGACATTGTGAATCCCTCAACGGAAGGGAGAGATGAAAGCAAAGACTTTGAATGGGTATTGAGGGAGATTGTGTCCATTCCAAGCCATCCTAAAGAAGTATATTAAGTAGTAGTAGAATTGTGGATTTGTGCTCTCATTTTGCCTTGAAATAAATCCTGTCTCTTAGCAGGACCAAGAATGACTTGCAATCTATATGTAATGCCTACTTACTTATTCAATAAAGGTATACATTAAATGTTGTGCTTCCTATGATAATTAAGTTTAAGAACTAGTGAAAAGGCATAAACTGAAGTATCAAGACAGGATGTGAGAACATTCTAGGAGAAGCTTCAACTGAACCAAAGTGTAAGAGTTTTGTGGGTTGTTAAAAAAGTTTTATTTACTTGAAAGGCAGAGAGACAGATGTCTCTCATCTACAGGTTCCCTGCCCAAATGCCCACAACAGCCAGGGCTGAGCCTAGGCCAGGTGCCACAAACTCAATCAGAATCTCCCACGTAGTTGCCAAGAACTCAAGTACTTGAGCCATCAACTGCTACCTCCCAGGGTGTGTGTTTGCAGGAAGCTGGAATTGAGAGTGCAGCTGTGACTCAAACCTAGGCACTCTGATAGGAGATACAGGTATCCAAAGAGACATCTTAACTGCTATGCCACTATGCCAAATACCTACCCCACACAGGTGGAGATCATGGGATCATATTAAAATTTTCTTTTTGTATTCTTTGGCACTACTTGCCAGAGTAACAGAACATGTTTATTAAACAACTGAAGTCTAGAAAAGTCAGAGGGTAGTTTGCATGCTTTCAGGCAGACTGTTTCTACAGAAAAAAGTTTTTTTTTTCTTTTTTTTTGTCTTGAGTATAGAACTAAAGCAAGTGAGCTTCGAAGGCCCGGAGGAGTAAAATCAAGAGTAATAAAGGATTGTAGATCATTATTCTTTAGAGGGCTTCCAAAAGAATCTTTCATTGTGAGTGGGCTGACTTACTTGAAGATGAAGGGTTGGGCAATGTAATAGCCAGGTCTGTAATAGATATGATCCAAAACTTGGCATGACCATTGTTTCCCTTGGAATGATTTGTCCCAGGAACAAAATATGAGCACATTGTCTTTTTACCTCCCAGGCTCCAAATAGGTAAATTCCTGAATCAAGAGTCTGAAAACCTTAGAATGCATTACTAGAGGAATTTGAGCTTAATTCCAAGAGGTCAAAGGAAAGTGGAAATCTGGAAATACATACAAAGTGCATCTAAAAAGCTATATAGTTTTGATTTAAAGTAAAATGGAAACTATAGCCAAAGATCCCGTTTACAGACTAAATTTATTTAGATGTCTAGTGTCCCAATAGCCACAAATGAAATATTATTACAGTTAGTGCCCATTGTAAGGAAAACAGCTTGTAAATACATGAATTATGCAAATCATAACTTGGTTACTAGCTCTTGGAGATTAGCCAGAGTTCAATTTTTAGCCATAATGACCTTACTTTTTGCTAATAGAGGCTCAGATAATATTTTCACCTATATCTTGGCCACTTGAGATCCAGCCAATATTTTCACCTTTTAATGTTTATGAGCAATGTGTAAGAGCTATTATTGTATCATTAGACATAATAATAAATAATGTAAAAGCCCTCAACTTCTCTATTTTGCTAAAGCCTGCCCTACCTTCACCCCAAGTGCAGCTGTTCTAGCCACTGAGCACCCATTTTGTTGGAAGCTGGTTTTTCAGGACACAACTACAAATTAAGCAACTCTGCCTTCAAGATCTCACAGTCTAGTGAGAGAGAAGGCACGTACAAATAGAATCACCATTCAAGGTGGGAATAGATTAATCATAAGAATGCTATAGGTGAAGCAAAACCAAATCACTTTTAGAGAGGTATGGTGGGTATTGGGGTAGGAAGGGGATATCAGTGTATACTTTTTGGAGGGGGTGGCATTGCAATTGAAATGTAAAAAGTCCATAACTTTGGATATGTGGCATTTTTGTTCACTCAGTCAGTATTTACTGAGTAACCTACTGTGTGCCACATAATACTAGGCTCTGAGGATATAGTAGTGATACAGTAGTGATAGATGTGGTCCCTATTCTCATAGAACTTACGTCTTTTTGAGGCACAAGGAGGGACAGCATGAGCAGAGGCACAAACTTGGCACATCTTGGTGCGTATGAAGGGAATATTGAAAAATTCAGTGTGAGTAAAGTGTATGTTCCATGAAAGCCAGAGTAGTTGTATGGTTTGAGCTTAATTCTGTAAATGGTAGGGAAATACTGAGGGGTTTCTAGCAAAGAAATGATATAGAACACTTAAGAAAGATAACTCTAGAAGTTCTGTGTAAAACAGATTGAGAGGGGAGAGGCCATAGAAGGACTACCTTGTTGGAGGCTGGTCCAATCATTTTTGAGAAATGAGAGCCCACCAGTGGGACAGATCCAGGTGACATCTAAAGAACTGGCAACCAGTTGAGCTTGAAAGCATGAAGAAATGGAGGAGTCAGATTTGACTCCAAGATTTCAGACTTGAGAAACTAATGAGTAGCCTTCAACAGAAAAATCGAACATAAGAAGAGCTCATTTTTTCCATGGTACATGGCTATGCATAGCTGCAGCTCTGACCCTTGGTTTGATCCTATTAACCATGCTGGTGAATGGCTCATACAAATGTTATGTACACGTAACATCAAATCATTGAGGCATAGAGCAGACAGGACATGATTTCTGCATAAGAACTTATTCAGTGGTAGTATAGTGATTATGGTAATAAAGGTAAGAGGAAGTTCTAGGTTATTTTTTATTCCTTTTCTTTTTCTTTCCTTCCCCATGCCCTTCTTTTCACTTTCCTTTCCTTTCCTTTTCTCTTATTTTTAACAATGGTGAAAGCCAGAGGCTGGCACCATGGCTAGTAGGCTAAGCCTCTGCCTGTGGCGTCAGCATCCCATATGGGTGCCAGTTCTAGTCCCAGCTGCTCCTCTTCCAGTTCCAGCTCTCTGCTATGGCCTGGGAAAGCAGTAGAGGATGGCCCAAGTCCTTGGGCCCCTGCAGCTGCATGGGAAGCCTGGAAGAAGCCTGGTTTCAAATCAGCTCAGCTCTGGCTTTTGCGGCCACTTGGGGAGTGAACCAGTGTATGGAAGACCTCTCTCTCTGTCTCTCCCTCTCTCTGTAACTCTACCTCTCAAGTAAATAAATAAAATCTTTATAAAAGAAAAAAAATGGTGAAAACCAAAACATTGAATGGCTGATGAAAAGAAAAAAACAAACAAAAAAGGACAAAGACTGAGTGGACATTAAAATGTACTGACTCAGTTTTGGTCTCATAATGACAGGAAGGAAAGGCATTTAGATGAAGTATAATTTATGGGAAAGGCTTAATTAGTTCACAGGGCTTCTTAAGTGTCTGGTTAATATTTTAACCAGACAGTTAAGAGTTTATTGAACAATTATTACTCTATGAAAGATCCTAAAATTCTCCCATTTTGCTATTTTCCCGGTAATATTCCAGACTTCCAGACTGTCCCCAAGCCTGTTCTCTTTATGTCAAATACCTCTGTACTGAAAGAACTATAAAGCTTCACTGTCCAGTACATTCAACTGTTAGATCATGTGACACCAAATGCCTTTATTTTAAACAATATTCTTTTGTTATGGGAGCCAGTTTATGAGTTTGCTCTACCTCCCTCAGCCCCAAAGACCTCATGGAGCCATCCCTCCATTTTCCTACAAAACCCAACTATCACAATAGGAGTTACATGGAAAATATCCCAATACTACAAAATTTTCTCTTTGAGCATCTTTTGGAGCATTGTGGCATGCAATAACACAGTGGCCTAGAATTTCTGAAAAAACTCAAGAACTGAAGTGCTTTCCCTAGTTGAACAGTAGTAGCACTTACGGAGGCAGGGAGGGGAAATGAAAGGGGTTGCGATCTAACTCCCTTGAAGAAGTCAGTATACTGATAAGAATGCACGAGTCTTTCAGATGTCAGGAACTTTTTGACTCTAGAGCGTCTGTGATAACAAGCTCACTTGCTGTGACCTTATCTTGTGTAGCCCTGTGTATTTTTGAAGGCTTTCACTTTTCAAATCCATGATTCCATCATCTTACTTCTTGTCAGACTATAAACATCCTCAAGTTTCTACCATCCCAATTAAACAACAGCCTTCCTCTGACTCTGCCTCCTTCAAGGCTACCAATGACCAACTCAACCGCCAAATGCTGCGAACACCTCTCAATTCTCACCCCACTTACTTTCTCCCATTTCTTCCTTCAGTCAGTCCCCTTGTATTAGTGGTCGCCTTCACATTTGCATTCTCCCCAGCTCCAGCATCAGCCTAGATAAATCTACAGCTTTGACAATTCCCTTCAAACAGATGACTGTGAGATCTCTCCTGGGCTGCAGACCACCCTCTCACACTGAGCCATCCTGGCTGAGTCTGTTCTCTAATAAACTTATTTTTCCATTCAGGTTCCCTGTTTCATTATTGGCCCTACCTTTTCCCAATCTGTAAGGCTAGGCATGCTGGAAACATCTCGTGTTCTTTTCTCTCCCCTAATATTTAGCCAGGCTGGAAGTCGGTATTCACATTTCCATCTCTTACTTCTGCGACCCATCCTTCAGGCTGCTCAAGATCACTTCCTAAGGTGCCTTTCTTGGCCCAACTTATACGCTTTTGATTGTTCTCCTTTATTAAAATAAAGGTAGTGCAGCCTTCATTGCTCCCAGGAGCAGACTCAAACATAGCTTTCAAGCCTCTCCTTCTCTAGCAATGCTCCACTGGATTTATCATTTGAGTATAACCACGTTAAGCAAACATGATTGTTTTTTTAAAAAGTTTATTTTTTTAAAAAAATTATTTATTTGAAAGTCAGAGTTACACAGAGAAGGAGAGGCAGAGAGAGAGAGAGAGAGAGAGAGAGAGAGAGAGATCTTCCATGTGCTGATTCACTCCTGAGTTGGCTGCGAAGGCTGGAGCTGTGCCCATCTGAAGCCAGGAGCCAGGAGCTTGCTCTGGGTCTTCCCATGTAGGTTCAAGGGCCCAAAGTCTTGGGCCATCCTCTACTGCTTTCCCAGGACATAGCAAAGAGCTGGATCAGAAGTGAAGCAACCAGGACACGAACCAGTGCCCATAGGGGATGCCAATACTGTAGGCAACAGCTTTACCCACTACACCACAGCACTGGCCCCTAGTTCCTTTATTTGAAGAGCAGAGAGACAGAGATTCCATCCACTGGTTCATTCC